GGGTCCCATTTGTGGTCTGCGAAGCACCTAATCGGAGCAGCTATTTGGTCGTATTTTACTGAACAAAGTAGGTGTTTCGCTGCCTTCCCACCCAATGTATGCGGTAGAGTTTTACAATCAGTATTTTAGTTTTTTAGACGGTACTGAGTATCTCGTGAGACCTGCTATTTGATGCTTTACTATTGCCGACCAATATCGGTCAAATCGATTTGCATTTTTCTTTCGAATAGAGCCTTTGGCTTTTTGTGTTTGGTATGAATTTGATTTAATTATGCGTCTAAACCTATGAACACGAAACTATTCACCTCGCATTTACTGTTAGGTTTAGTCCGTATTTTCACATGTTGTTTTGTCTGTTTCAACGCATAGACGCAGGTTGAACGCATTGACCAATCAAAGGTCGGAATACCTCGAATCTCTTCTTCTCCAGAACTTTCAAGATGAGTGGGAAGTTGACCCAAAGGATTTAACTTACAACGTTGATGAGACTTTAGGTCACGGGAGCTTTGGAATGGTCTGCAAAGGTCGGTTAAAACGGCTGACCACACCCGCTGCTGAATACCTTCAACATACACCGATTTCAACTCGCGCCGTCAACGTTGTGGACGATGGAGGTAGATCATCCCCTCAAATTCCTGCAATAGCATCATTTCGCAATCCAAAGATTTGGCTTTCGGCGTTCTTTTCGAAAAAGTTCCGTCGCGACCCCGCTGAATTGGATGACCATTCGGGGATTGATGTTGCTGTGAAGGTGAGTTTACTGATGCTTTCGAAATTTCAGTGAGTCTTATATTTTTTTCGTTCTTTGAACCAGAATTTCTATCTTATTTGTTTAGTCTAATTTAAGGAAATGTATTTTCTTCTATTCAAATAAAGGGCGGTTTGGTTTGCGCCATCAGCTTGCCAACTAACGGATATGAATTAGCGAACACTATCATTTTTTGTACTTGGACCAATCCGATTGCAAATTGTGCGCGAAATACTCCACGCTTTTGATGCTGATGCAAGTGGGATTGGGGTGGAGAGATTATGGGGGGAATGTTCCCACCGTAGGCTAGGCGATTTACCGCAGTATCTGGT